TGCTTTTTTCCTCATTTTCCCTTGTGTGGTTTTTAGTTTTTCTGTTGTTCTGTTTGTCTAAAGGTAGCACAACTGTGTTTTACTGCATGACCTGTCTTAACTGCCCCTCCCCCTCCCTGAATGTACAGCACCTTGTGAATTTATTTCTGTGAAAGGCGCTAYATAAATAAAACTTTACTTACTTACATCAACGTCTCCTCTGATGATGAGCACTAGTGGCACTCCGTGGGGAGAGCTGACTGCTGCACCCCCCCCCCCACACACACACACACACACTCCAGCAGTACGTCCTGCACAGCAGGAGGGGAGGAGGGAAAAAAGGCAGAAAGGCAGCGGGGCAGCTGCAGCCCTAACGGACCAAACTTCAGTCAAACAAGACCCAACACTTTTATTCCTGATTTAAACAGYGATCATGTGAGCAGCTGCAGCTGTRTGCTTTTATTTTTTTCTGTCAGGCTGTCGGAGCGCTCCTCCTCCTCTGTCCGAGGCTGGTGTGGTGTGAGGAGGACAGCTCTCTCGTCCAGGCCACACCTCCGCTCTCTAAGCCCCCCTCCCCTACCCACTTTGATGCATTTTTCAAATTTTGTCTTTGGGCGGAGTTATCTTTTCACAGGGGGGTAAGATACACTTTAATAACATTTCTTACTTAATGGAAACAGAATGTCGACAAAGTTTTGCGCACATTTGCAGTGGAAACACAGCGAGTGTCACGTGATTATCTGAGGGCTTTACCTCAGCCTTAACGATGCGGTCCACAATGGTCTCTAGAGTCTCCAGCTTGTTGCACTTCATGACTCCTTCGAAGTACTGTGACCTGTGTCTGAGAGCTTGAGTCACCGTCACATCCAGGTTGTTGTAGGTCTTCTCAGCCGCCAGGTTCTGCACAAAAACCACAGGTAGTTCCTACAAAGGTTCTGACCCATTCTGTACAGTCAGCAAAAGACAGCGGTACTCACAATCACATCAAACTTGGAGTAGATGTCCACAACTTTCCCTGCAGACAGACAGTATGGTCAGAGGTTCTACAGGAACACACAGGATGAGACTGAAGCAGAGGGAGGTTACCACTGTGGTCGACGACGGGCAGGGCGGAGACACGGCGGTGCGTGAAGACAGACAGGGCCATGATGAGCGGCGTGTCGGGGTGGATGTAGGCGATGTTGGAGTATGTTCCTACTCCAAGTTCTTCCAGAGTTTGCTTCATGAAGGCCGGCATGGGCATCTCACACAACTCAAACACACACACAGATACACAATTTAGTTTTCCACGTTTCAAGAGAAACACCTGCTGTCACAACAAAGATGTTCTGGTAAGAAGGAGGCAGGACGACAGCTCAGGGGGTTAGGATTATTCAMGTGTGGTTTCCAAGCCCCATGGAAAAGACCAGAGAAACTGAATCCAAGAGCWGCTGACCTAGGAATAAAGATCATGGATAAAACAGACACCAGTGATGTAGACCTTCTGAGGCTGAGTGATAAGGATCCCCTAAAAGCCTTCTAAATGATAGAAACACTGCTAAGAAGCTCTACTGACACCATCACAGGGACCAACAAGCTGGTACACACCACAGCAGTGCTCCTTGAAATGCTTGGCTTTAAGAACAACACAAAACTAACAAAGAGCATCGTTCCCATGGAAGAGGAGGAGAAACATGAAGCTAAGATCAGGGCAACAGAGAAAAACTAACCACCTGTTAAAACAACAGAAAGACCACAACTTGTCTACACCTGAGGCTCCAGAGACGGACAAACACCTTACAGCTCTGGCTTCTCATCGCAGGAGGTCAACTCAAAGAGAAGAAGCCAGGAGAATAAACAATGTTCTCCACCACACCTCCCAGTATAATCCCAGTGACAGAGAATTAACATGAGTACATCTGCTTAAATCACTAAAAACCTGAGCAAAAGTGTATATTATCACATGTTTAGAGATGGTCCCTGATCCACCTCACCAGGATCTGAAGCAAGGAGTGACTGGAAGGTCATTCAGACTGAATCACTGCAGTCAAAGATGATCACAACTGTACAGGTTCAACTTCCTGAAAACAACATTGTACATGTTCAACACACTGACCTGTTGGTGTGTTCACCTGTTGGTGTGTAGTGTGTTCACCTGTTGGTGTGTTCACCTGTTGGTGTGTTCACCTGTTGGTGTGTAGTGT